CCTGTAATCCCAGCACTTTGGGAGGCCAAGGCAGGCAAATATCTTGAGCTCAAGAGTTCAAGGCCAGCCTGAGCAACATGGCAAAACCCTGTCTCTGCAAAGAAAAATACAAAAAATGTGTGTGTGTGTACATATATACATATTTTGCTTGTTTGTTTTGTTTTGTTTTTGAGACAGTCTCGCAATGGCACAACCTCAGCTCACTGCAAACTCTGCCTCCCAGGTTCAAGCAATTTTCCTACCGCAGCCTCCTGAGTAGCTAGGATTACAGGCATGTGCCACCACTCCTGGTTAATTTTTTTATTTTTAGTAGAGATGGGGGGTCTCACCATGTTGGCCAGGCTGGTCTCGAACTCCTGACCTCAAATGATCTGCCTGCCTCGGCCTCCCAAAATGCTGGGATTACAGGCATGAGCCTCCATGCTCAGCCTTGTCTGTCTTTATTACAGACATCATAGTGGGTATAAAGTAGTATCTCATTGTGGTTTTGATTTGCATTTCCTCCATGAGTATTGATGTTGAACATTGTTTGACATGCCTGTTGGCTATTTGTATGTCTCTGGAGAAATGTCTATTCTGACATGTCTGCCCAGTTTTAAATAGGGTTATCTTTTTATTGTTGAGTCATAAGAGTTCTTTATATATTCTGGCTGCAAGTCTCTTATCAAATATTTTCTCCCATTCTGTGGGTTGTCCTTTCACTTCTTTGAAGGTATTCTATGACACACACAAGTTTTTAATTTTGAACAAGTTGCCAGGCACGGTGCTGTAATTCCAGCACTTTGGGAGGCCAAGGCGAGAGGATCGCTTGGGTCTAGGAGTCCGAGATCAGCCTGGGAGAGATAGTGAAACCTCGTCTCTACAAAAAATAAAAATTAGCACGTGCCTGTGGCCCCAGCTACATGGGAGGCTGAGGTGGGAGGATCACTTGAGTCCAGAAGTCCACGGCTGCAGTGAGCCATGTTCATGCCACTGTACTCCAGCCTAGGTGACAGAGCAAGACTCTCTTTCTCAAAAAAAAAAAATAATAATTAAATAATAAAAATACAGAAAGAGCAGAATTGGAGAGAAAAAGTCCAATTTCGCTTATTTTTCTTTTATTGCTTGTATTTCTGCTGTTGTATCAAAGAAACCATTGCATAATCCGGGATCACAACGATGTGTGCCTATGCCTGTGTTTCCTTCTAAGAGTCTTAAAGCTTTAGTCCTTTTATGTAGGACTTTGATCCATTTTGAGTTAATTTTTGTGTATCCTGTAAGATAGGCTTCCTTTTGTATGTAGATATCCAGTTTTCATGGTTTTTTTTTTTTCTTCTTTTTTCTGTATTTATTTATTGAGACAGAGTCCTGCTCTGTCA